TATTTAGGGGAGAGGTGGCATGAAAGGGACATTTTTGTTTCGAGGATCCTAGTAATTAAATTAAACAAAATTAGGAAGCTCAGTTATGTCAGTATCGAAATAGGACAAAACAACAAACCATTCTTTATCCTTAGTTGTATATTTTTTAAACTTATGTATTTTGTCACTTTCATTAATAGAGTGTATTGAAAAGGACACGATGGTTTATGAAAGGGACAATACCCAATAACAAGGAAAATCAGCTTGTACTTTGCGATACACGTACTGATTATTAATCAATAGGTACGTGCACGTGTGCTGCAAGACTACATTTCTCAAAAAAATTAGAAATTAATAATTTACTTTTTGATTGTTAATTTTGATGTTGCTCGATTCCTTTACTGCTGAATTGTCTTTGATAATTCGCCTTACTTGCGTTAAACTTTATTTATTGTCTCGGAGTGTGTCTTTCTTTAATATATCTATCACATTTTCTAAAAGTAATTATCTTTTTCTGGGAATTCAGTTATAATTGGCGTTTTGACTTTGCGTTTCTTTTCTCCTATTTTTCGAGCTGTAGCTTTAGGGTACGGCCTAATCTGCTCTGGAGTTAGCGTAGGGTGTGGTGGATTTAAAACGCAAAATGCGTCACTTCACTATTGGAAGATCCAGACCGTGGTTCATTTGATGTAGAAGGTTCAATCTGTTGCTTACTAGGATTAATAGATTCAGTATATACTTCTACAGCATTGGAAGGTCTGGGTTGCGTTTCTTCGACATTTGTAATAAATTCATTTTGAGTGAAATTATCTATAAGATACTTATTATTTGCACTTACTTTATTAAAAATTTCGTTAGGACCAGCGATGTTTTGAGGTGACTGTGAGCGATTTGTGGTGAAAGAGACATCATTAACTTAAGAAAATATTGCCAACCACGAAAGGGTCAGCTATGAAGGGGACGTCCCTTTCATAACCGTTTGTTGTGTCCCTTTAATGACTATTACACAAAATTTAAAAATCTAACCTCTACTGTTACCATTTCATCTAAAACGTATCTTACCTATTGTTTATTTCAAATTGAATAAATAACTTATTACGGACAATTGCAGGCAGTTCAATTAACTATTTGGTACACACTACAGAAAGTTTGGAAATTATTAAAAAAAATTTACTTTTGAGCATGAAAAAATTCACAAGCACGCAATACTCGCGTCAGTGAAGAGACAGGACCGTGAATTTTGGTGCAAATTAGTGTGAATCGATGTTATCACACAACAAAAGTATTTCTATCCCGAGAAAATTTGTTGTTTGCCCGTAACTTGAGCTGACCTTTTCAATACGTGTCCCTTTCATGCCACCTCTCCCCTATATATGTAAAACCATCGCTATGTTTTTATAAAACACATTGATTTCCCAGCTTGTATAACGTAATTGAATTTTTATACATCTTGGAGATATAATATTAACAGTAAAATTACAAAGATCCTTGAATAGTAAGTAGTCTTTAAATTGGGTGACCCAATACAATCACCAATCAAGACTCTGTGTGAAAGGCAATCCAATTAAACTTTTCTGCACCAACCATATATAAATATATTTTTATTTACTTATTACTAATTAATGATTGTTAATAGTACATCTGTGCTTAAATTTTCTCAAAGTCAACGTATATATCACTAGAAAATCTGTATGTAAACGCTTTCGAATCCATTACAGGTATTCCAGTTTTCGAATTAATAGAAAACTTAAAATTTTTCAAAATATTTGCTAAGGCAAATTTCAGTTGCAGTAATCCAAATTTGATACCTAAAAACAATTTGCAGATGGTTAAATTGTTGGACTAAAAAGGTGTAATATTAATTGAGAGATTAAATTTATGTACGTTTTCAACATAGTCTTATTAGGAGTCAATCTAAAAGTCATATATTATGGCTACAGTTCAAAATATCATGAAGACCTTAGGATATTGACTGTTAACAATGCGACTCTATATGCAACCAGGAATAAAGCTTCTGATAACAGTGACGGCTAATAGTCTGTAGAGGTAGAAATGTAAAAATCAATGAACGACGTGAGTTTCTGTCACCACGCTACCCAAAGATAAGGTTCATGATATTTTGAACTACCTCCACCATGTGTGCATTAACCTATGCAATTTCGGGGTCCATCACTAAATGGCAAATACGTGCACGCAGGTCGTTTACTTTTATTTATTTCAGTAAATCGTTCAGGATCGAACACTTCCGGGTTGGGATAATATTCTGGATCCATGTGTATCCCCAAAATCGATATGCATGCTATTACGCCTTTTTCGATGACCACATTGGTGCCTTCTACGTGATAATCTTGTGCACATTTTCTGACCAGTGTAGAGACGGAAGGATACTTTCTTAATGTTTCTAGAAATATAAAAACTTTACATTTTTAAAAAATGCCATCGAAAGTTATGAACTTGTTTAGTTTAGTTTTTACTTTCAATCGATTTTTTGCATTATTTGCGTCGTATGAATTGGGACCACATATCACAAGTCAAAAAACTTGAGTTAAATTAGGACAAATAACGTCTAAATGACTTGACAATAAGGAAGACCAGACTGCTACTCCTCTTGTTAATTAAAACGCTTCGCTTAAAGTAAATTTTTATATATAT